CCTTTACCTATCATTTGAACCTAGTGCGTAAAAAAGTATTGCCGTAGGAAATTTTTCACAGACTTTGAAAGATTGGGGTAGGCATTTAAGACTCTTTTTTTAACCTAACTTTGGACCTATGGTGAAGACAAACCATGAGTTGCCTCACCTGGGCCTTTTGGCCCAATGGACCTTAGACCTTTACCTATCATTTGCACCTAGTGTGTAAAAAAGTATTGCCGTAGGGAATCTTGACAGACTTTCAAAAATGGGGAGTAGGCATTTAAGACTAAGACAAACCATAAGTTGTCCCACCTGGGACTTTTGGTCCATTGGACCTTAAACTTTGACCTATCATTTGAACCTAGTGCGTTAAAAAGTATTGCCGTAATGAGTTTTTGACACACTTTGAAAGATTGGTTTTTTTTAACCTAACTTTTGACTTATGGTGAAGACAAACCATGAATTGTCCCACCTAGACCTTTTGGCTCAAAGGACCTAAGACTTTTACCTATCATTTGCACCTAGTGTGTAAAAAAGTATTGCCGTAGGGAATTTTTGAAAGACTTTGAAAAATAGGGGGTAGGCATCTAAGAATCTTAGACCTAAGTTTGGACCTATGGTGAAGACAAACCATGAGTTGTCCCACCTAGGACTTTTGGCCCAAAGGACCTAAGACTTTTACCTATCATTTGCACCTAGTGTGTAAAAAAGTATTGCCGTAGGGAAATTTTGACAGACTTTGAAAAATAGGGGGTAGGCATCTAAGACTCTTTAGACCGAAGTTTGGACCTATGGTGAAGACAAGCTATGAGTTGTCCCACCTGGGCCTTTTGGCCCATTGGACCTTAGACCTTTAACTATCATTTGCACCTAGGGCGTAAAAAAGCATTGCCGTAGGGAATTTTTGAGAGACTGAAAAATAGGGGGTAGGCATCTAAGACTCTTAGACCTAAGTTTGGACCTATGGTGAAGACAAACCATGAGTTGTCCCACCCAGGACTTTTGGCCCAAAGGACCTAAGACTTTTACCTATCATTTGCACCTAGTGTGTAAAAAAGTATTGCCGTAGGGAAATTTTGACAGACTTTGAAAAATAGGGGGTAGGCATCTAAGACTCTTTAGACCGAAGTTTGGACCTATGGTGAAGACAAGCTATGAGTTGTCCCACCTGGGCCTTTTGGCCCATTGGACCTTAGACCTTTATCTATCATTTGCACCTAGAGCGTAAAAAAGCATTGCCGTAGGGAATTTTTGACAGACTTTGAAAAATAGGGGGTAGGCATCTAAGACTCTTAGACCTAAGTTTGGACCTATGGTGAAGACAAACCATGAGTTGTCCCACCTAGGACTTTTGGCCCAAAGGACCTAAGACTTTTACCTATCATTTGAACCTAGTGTGTAAAAAAGTATTGCCGTAGGGAATTTTTGACAGACTTTGAAAAATAGGGGGTAGGCATCTTAGACTCTTTAGACCGAAGTTTGGACCTATGGTGAAGACAAGCTATGAGTTGTCCCACCTGGGCCTTTTGGCCCATTGGACCTTAGACCGTTACCTATTATTTGAACATAGTGCGTAAAAAAGTATTGCCGTAGGGAATTTTTTGACAGACTTTGAAAGATGGGTGTAGGCATTTAAGACTCTTTTTTTAAACCTAACTCTGGACCAATGGTGAAGACAAACCATGAGTTGTCCCACCTGGGTCTTTTCGCCCAATGGACCTTAGTTAGACCTTTACCTATCATTTGAACCTAGTGCGTAAAAAAGTATTGCCGTAGGAAATTTTTCACAGACTTTGAAAGATTGCGGTAGGCATTTAAGACTCTTTTTTTAACCTAACTTTGGACCTATGGTGAAGACAAACCATGAGTTGTCTCACTTGGGCCTTTTGGCCAAATGGACCTTAGACCTTTAACTATCATTTGCACCTAGTGTGTAAAAAAGTTTTGCCGTAGAGAATTTTGACAGACTTTCAAAATGGGGAGTAGGCATTTAAGACTAAGACAAACCATGAGTTGTCCCACCTTGGACTTTTGGTCCATTGGACCTTAAACTTTGACCTATCATTTGAACCTAGTGCGTTAAAAAGTATTGCCGTAATGAGTTTTTGACACACTTTGAAAGATTGGGTTTTTTTTAACCTAACTTTTGACTTATGGTGAAGACAAACCATGAGTTGTCCCACCTAGGCCTTTTGGCCCAAAGGACCTAAGACTTTTACCTATCATTTGCACCTCGTGTGTAAAAAAGTATTGCCGTAGGGAATTTTTGACAGACTTTGAAAAATAGGGGCATCTAAGACTCTTAGCAAACCATGAGTTGTCCCACCTAGGACTTTTGGCCCAAAGGACCTAAGACTTTTACCTATCATTTGCACCTCGTGTGTAAAAAAGTATTGCCGTAGGGAATTTTTGACAGACTTTGAAAAATAGGGGGTAGGCATCTAAGACTCTTTAGACCGAAGTTTGGACCTATGGTGAAGACAAACCATGAGTTGCCTCACCTGGGCCTTTTGGTCCAATGGACCTTAGACCTTTAACTATCATTTGCACCTAGTGTGTAAAAAAGTATTGTCGTAGAGAATTTTGACAGACTTTCAAATATGGGGAGTAGGCATTTAAGACTAAAACAAACCATGAGTTGTCCCACCTGGGACTTTTGGTCCATTGGACCTTAAACTTTGACCTATCATTTGAACATAGTGCGTTAAAAAGTATTGCCGTAATGAGTTTTTGACACACTTTGAAAGATGGGTTTTTTTTAAACCTAACTTTTGACTTATGGTGAAGACAAACCATGAGTTGTCCCACTTAGGCCTTTTGGCCCAAAGGACCTAAGACTTTTACCTATCATTTGCACCTAGTGTGTAAAAAAGTATTGCCGTAATGAGTTTTTGACACACTTTGAAAGATGGGGTTTTTTTAACCTAACTTTTGACTTCTGGTGAAGACAAACCATGAGTTGTCCCACTTAGGCCTTTTGGCCCAAAGGACCTAAGACTTTTACCTATCATTTGCACCTAGTGTGTAAAAAAGTAATGCCGTAGGGAATTTTTGACAGACTTTGAAAAATAGGGGGTAGGCATCTAAGACTTTTTAGTCCGAAGTTTGGACCTATGGTGAAGACAAGCTATGAGTTGTCCCACCTGGGCCTTTTGGCCCATTGGACCTTAGACCGTTACCTATTATTTGAACATAGTGCGTAAAAAAGTATTGCCGTAGGGAATTTTTTGGCAGACTTTGAAGGATGGGTGTAGGCATTTAAGACTCTTTTTTTAAACCTAACTCTGGACCAATGGTGAAGACAAACCATGAGTTGTCCCACCTGGGTCTTTTGGTCCAATGGACCTTAGACCTTTAACTATCATTTGCACCTAGTGTGTAAAAAAGTATTGCCGTAGAGAATTTTGACAGACTTTCAAAAATGGGGAGTAGGCATTTAAGACTCAGACAAATCATGAGTTGTCCCACCTTGGACTTTTGGTCCATTGGACCTTAAACTTTGACCTATCATTTGAACCTAGTGCGTTAAAAAGTATTGCCGTAATGAGTTTTTGACACACTTTGAAAGATTGGGTTTTTTTTAACCGAACTTTTGACTTATGGTGAAGACAAACCATGAGTTGTCCCACCTAGGCCTTTTGGCCCAAAGGACCTAAGACTTTTACCTATCATTTGCACCTAGTGTGTAAAAAAGTATTGCCGTAGGGAATTTTTGACAGACTTTGAAAAATAGGGGGTAGGAATCTAAAACTCTTTAGACCGAAGTTTGGACCTATGGTGAAGACAAGCTATGAGTTGTCCCACCTGGGCCTTTTGGCCCATTGGACCTTAGACCGTTACCTATTATTTGAACATAGTGCGTAAAAAAGTATTGCCGTAGGGAATTTTTTGACAAGACTTTGAAAGATGGGTGTAGGCATTTAAGACTTTTTTTTTTAAACCTAACTCTGGACCAATGGTGAAGACAAACCATGAGTTGTCCTACCTGGGTCTTTTCGCCCAATGGACCTTTGTTAGACCTTTACCTATCATTTGAACCTAGTGCGTAAAAAAGTATTGCCGTAGGAAATTTTTCACAGACTTTGAAAGATTGCGGTAGGCATTTAAGACTCTTTTTTTAACCTAACTTTGGACCTATGGTGAAGACAAACCATGAGTTGCCTCACCTGGGCCTTTTGGCCCAATGGACCTTAGACCTTTAACTATCATTTGCACCTAGTGTGTAAAAAAAAAAGTATTGCCGTAGAGAATTTTGACAGACTTTCAAAAATGGGGAGTAGGCATTTAAGACTAAGACAAACCATGAGTTGTCCCACCTAGGACTTTTGGTCCATTGGACCTTAAACTTTGACCTATCATTTGAACCTAGTGAGTTAAAAAGTATTGCCGTAATGAGTTTTTGACACACTTTGAAAGATGGGTTTTTTTTATCCTAATTTTTGACTTATGGTGAAGACAAACCATGAGTTGTCCCACCTAGGCCTTTTGGCCCAAAGGACCTAAGACTTTTACCTATCATTTGCACCTAGTGTGTAAAAAAGTATTGCCGTAGGGAATTTTTGACAGACTTTGAAAAATAGGGGGTAGGCATCTAAGACTCTTTAGACCGAAGCTTGGACCTATGGTGAAGACAAGCTATGAGTTGTCCCACCTGGGCCTTTTGGCCCATTGGACCTTAGACCTTTATCTATCATTTGCACCAAGTGCGTAAAAAAGAATTGCCGTAGGGAATTTTTGACAGACTTTGAAAAATAGGGGGTAGGTATCTAAGACTCTTAGACCTAAGTTTGGACCTATGGTGAAGACAAACCATGAGATGTTCCACCTGGGCCTTTTGGCCCATTGGACCTTAGACCTTTAACTATCATTTGCGATAATGTTAAGATTAAAGACTATGCATGATCTCAGTAGCTATGGAAATTATAGCGAGGTCTTTTTTAGAAAGCTGACAAGGCTATAGTACGGAGCAAGGTCAGTAATGATTATATATTAAACGAATTTGTTTATGATGACATGTATATACTTTTTTATTTACTATTTGTTTGAATTTTTACATTTTCAGATATTTTCAGCGTTGGTAGGTGGTCATCAGAAATTCTTTCACCACACCAGCCATTACAAAATTAAGCAAAGTGTATTCCAGAATTTTGTCTACGTTCTAGAGCTGATAACACTTGGAAAAAGTACAGGTACGCCTTTAACAATTTTTGTAGATGGAGTAAATTTTTTAATCTTAAATCTTTACCAGCATTAGACTATGATGTTTCGTTATACCTGATTCATTTATGTAAAAAAACACAAATCCGCATCTATAGTTGAAGGAGCTTATTTTGCAATTAGTTGGTCACATAAACTAGCCGGATTTGCTGATCCTTGAACTTCTTTTTTATGTACTTCACTTAAAGAAGGAGTTCATAGTTCAATCGGGCAATACATTGTAAAAATTCGTAAGGGGTCCGCGGAACCCAGTGTCTCGCCTACTTTTGCTGTTGTCTATGTTTTCAGAGTGAATGTAGGATCGCTATGTCTCACTTTTGCGACAAAAGTCGCAAGCTCAACAAAAATGGGGAAAAAATGATTAAAAAATTTCCTCTAGATACTATCTTTTGATTGTAAGAAGCCTCTGTCCAAGTTTGGTAAAAATCCAGGATGGTTTATGAATCTAATAAATGTTTTAAAAACTTTAAATGCAGACTGTATGTAATGTTAACTGGAAGAAAAACTAAGTCCATTTATAAGTAATATACGGAAAAACAGGAAATAAATTTTTACAAAATTTCCTTCTAGATACTAGAAGAAGGGCATCTGAAACTGAAAAAGATGGATATGTTCAGGAAAACATTTCAGAAAAATTAACAGTTTCTAAAAACCTTGGCATATGATCCCCTTTTTCTTTCTTTGTTACTTTCGAAAGTATGTTACTCTCACAAGGAGAGCTCATTTCTGATACATGTGTTGAGTTTTATTGTATAAATAATTTATGTTCGTTGAAGTCTGGCGAACTAGAACATAATATCTGTTTATGTAATTTACTGCTTTTTACATTTGAGCAGATTTAAATCAGAGCAATTGTCATCTCTCAGTTCAGATTGAAATTAATCATCAGAAATTTGTAAATTTTCAAATATGCTACTAACATTAGTCAAATCAATATCCTTTTCATCGTCAGTTTTGTTACTTGAATGAGAACAGCCATCGTCAAATTTTTCCTCTACATAATCGCTTCCATCGCATATTTCATCGTCCTCGTTTGAGATGTCATTGACCATCTCGTAATCTTTTCCAATAGATTCTGTAACACAAATTGACCAAATGTTGCATTATCATTTAATATAAACTCTTGACATGGACTTGTAAGCTATATATCTATAACTGTTCAGCAATCAGACTTTGGTTGTTTTATTATCTGCCGCCGCCTCTCCTTAGAGCTACAGTGTCGTGTATATAACTAAAATGTGCGGAATTACATGGGATTCAATAATTTCATTGCTTTTCTGCTGTTATTATTATATATATTTTGTAATTTGATTTAGAAAAACATATTTTCAATATCCCATGGGATAAGGCAAATCCCATGGGATTGACCATTATCCCATAGGATTTTTTTGGGTCCCATGGGATAATTGTAGTCCCATGGGACAAAAAAAAACCCATGGGACTATAAATATCCTATGGGATTTTTAATATCCCATGGGACAAAATAAAATCCTATGCGATTCAAATTATAAATATACAGTAATGTGTACGTTACAATGAATTCTGTTTGGTATTAAAAAGTTTATAATATATATATGAGTGTATTTTGTTTTTTTTTCATTTTGTCACAAACATGTTTTTAATTTGTTTATATGACAATAAAGATTATTATTATTTTGGAAAGTATAATAATATTTAAAGTAAAAAAAGAAAATCCTTTAACTGAAATAAAATGATGACATGTCTTAATAAAAGAAAAAAATATTGATTTGTAATCTTTGTCTTGTTTGTTTTATTATGCAAAATAGAACTGAAAAAAAAATTCATATTCTGACTGAATAAATTGACAAAGTACAGTTAATAGTTTACTCTTTTCATGAGGTAAAGTTTTCTTTGTTATAGTTCCATTGCAATACATGAATATGCAAACGATTTGAATCTTATACCTTTGTGTTGTTCATAATATTACGTTTATATTTGCAAATTTATAAAATAAACACTTTTCCTGTTAAGTTTTAGTTTTCTTGTTTCAGCTTGCTATGCACAATTATTCAGTCCACTATATAAGAGTGAAGTAAATAAATTATTTCATCCACTAGAATATTCCTACTATTCTTAGACAAAACATTTTTGCAATCTGTTCTTCAAAGATCTTCCTCCGTACATCTTTATTGGAGGGAGCGATTTAAAAGAGTGGACAAAGCAAGTTCATTTGGAGAACAAAATACTAATATATTTTTTCATTCCCCCCTTCTTTCAATTGATAATTACGTTGTTGCATAAATTTACATGATTAAGTTCTTATGCATCTATGATCATGATGATATGACTCCTTTTTGTTTATAGTCATTATATTGAAATTTCCTCTTTCTAATGTAGGAAAAAAACACATTCCATTTCAAATTAATAAAAAAGTCACACTATGTAGAAAAATATCAACTTTAAGTTTTCTGTTCAGTATTGACCTGTTGAATGATGATCATGAAAACCAAGATGTCTGACCTACAAATACACAAAACTCAAAAATTAAAAATGAAGAGAAATACAGCAATAAAATGGCTATTTCATCATGTTTATGTACATTTTGATACACTTTCATTTGAATATTTAAAATTGTAAGTACTCTTATTTCAGTGCTTTGTGTCTATGGTTTTCATATTAGTTGTTTTTGTGCCTTGTTGCAGTCTTTTGAGTTAAGCCAATTGCAACAAATGTTTACAGTTTGTTCAAACATGTCAAATGTTGTGCTGTTATTAAGACCACTGTCCCAGGTTAGGGGTGGGTTGGGTGCTCACAAAATGTTTATTTTATTAGTTGAAATTTGCTTTGAATTAGCTGTCAGTAACTGTGAGTACTAATAGATCTGTATGTTGAGTCTTTTTTGTTAAAGGGAAAGAATAAATTTCCAGCCACATCCGGTCTGTGTTTTTGGTAACTGTTTTTCTGCTTTGTTGCATTCTAATGAGTTAATAAAATTGAGAATGAAAACGGGAATGTATCAAAATAACCTGACCCAAGAGCAGAAAAAAGCCCTTTTCAACTGATTTTATAGTTTTTATATTGAACTGACACTTACACCACTGTCCTTAAATTGGAAAAGGATTTGGCGCCAGCAAACATGTTAAACCATGCCACATTTTGTAAGTGTCTGTCCCAAGTCAGGGGCCTGTTATTCAGTGGTTGTCAATTGTTGCTTTATATCATATTTGTTTTTTGTTTATTGTTTTGTGCAAAAATCAGGCACTTAGCTTTCGCCTTTGTGGTGTTTCCCCCAAGCATGTTTAGCATGGAAAGACGCCATGCCCTTTTTGAATTGTTTTACATTTGTTATTCCATGGCCTTTTATAGATTACTATGCGGTATAGAGTTTGCTCATTGTCGAAGGCTGTACAGTGAACTATTTTTGTTAAATTTAATGTCATTTGATCTCTATTTGAGAATAGTCTCATTGGCAATCATACCGCTTCTTATTTTTATATCAACCCTGCCTTAATTTTGCCTGTCCAAAATCAGGAGCCTGTACATAGTTCAGTGGTTGATGTTGGTTCACGTCCGTCATATTTGTTTTTTCATAACTTGTTTTTTTATAAATTAGTCTGGTATATTTGAAGTTTGAATTGTTGTTTTGTAACTTTTGTTCCAATTTTTTTTTTTGTGGTGTCTTTTATAGATGACTATATCATGTATAGGGTATGGGTTTTCTCATTATTTACAGGTCATCATTGGCCTCTAATAAGTAATTGCATTGCTTACATCCACTTAATTGAACTCTGGTGGATAGTTTCTTCATTTATCATACCACATCTTATTTTCATAATAATCATTATTCAAGGGCAATAACTTTTATAGAAGTGGACTTACCATTTAGGCTTTGTTGACGTCTGTAAATCTATTTTTGTTGATAATTTCTTTTGTTTATAGTTTCCCTTTATCTTTAATGTTCTTGCCCTACACATAAATGGGTAAACATCATTTAATGACAATAACTACTATAACATAATTAGTAGGCAACTGACAATTTTGTATCATTTGTATATCTTGTCTTGCTCATCATTTTTGCTGTTTAATTTTATCAATATTCTATGAAAATAAATTCACAGTAATCATGGTAATAATATCCTTGGCAGACATACATCTTCTTATTTTTATATGACACCATGCAGTCATTCCATACAACAACAAGTAGACATATGCTTACAATATCTGATAAAATGAAAAAACCAAGAAAACTTAGCATTGACCAAAGAACCATAAAATGCGGTCATGGTTATATGAATCTGCCAGACAGACATGCAAACCTTACAATCGTTACATCTGCCAAATATATTTTACCTGTTGCTTAAAGCATATGATAAACTGACAAAACAATGCAAACTTTTCATTGACCAATGAACCATGAAAATGAGGTCAAGGTCATATAAAACATGCCAGACAGACATGTGCATCTTACAATCATTCCATTCACCAAATATAGGGGCCTTATTGCTTACAGTATCCTAAAAATAGACCAAACCACAAAAACTAAACATTGTCCAATGTACTAGGAAAATAAAGTCAAGGTAAGATGAAACTTCTCAGTCAAACATATGCACCTTACAATCATTCCATACACCAAATATAGTTGACCTATTCCTAATTTGAAAATAAGACAATTGAAAAACTGACCAAAAAAACAAAAAAATAACATTGAGCAATGAACCATAAAAATGAGGTCAAGGTCGAATAAAACATGCCAGACTAACATGTACATCCTTAAAAATTTTCATGCACCAAATATACTTGACATGTTGCATACAGTATTAGAAAAACAGACCAAAACACAAAAACTTAACAATAACCACTGAACCATGAAAATGAGGTCCAGGTCACATGACACTTGCCAGTTGGACATGCACACCTTACAATCATTTTATACACTTAAGTAAATATAGTAGACCTATTGCTTATAGTATCTGAGATATGGACGTGACCACAAAACTTAACCTTGTTCACTGAAATAAGGTCAAGCCTAGTGAAAACTGTCTGACGAACATGAGGACTTTGAAAGGTACGCACATACCAAATATAATTATCCTATTACTCATTATAAAAGAGAAATTAAGCATACTAAAAATCTTAACTTTTTTTCCAAGTAGTCACTGAACCATGAAATGAGGTCAAGGACAATGAACATATGACAGATGGAAACTGAAACTTCATAACATAAGGCATCTATTAATACAAAGTATGAATGGTCCAGGTCTTCTACCTTCTAAATATTAAGCTTTTAAGAAGTAAGATAACACTTTTAAAATCATGTTAATGCACAACTGTTAACCAACATTAAAACATGAGAATTGAAAATTCCATTGTTTGTAATATGTAAATGATTTCTTTTAATATACATTGTCCTATAGTAAAATAAAGAACATGGACATTTTCACCTAGGAATAGTGATGTCATGGACTAGGAAAATTAGTCTGGGGACATAAATTACTGGCATCAGACTAAATATACTAGTAAATTCTGTACCTTTTTCAGACTGTCAGCTTACAACAAAGAATCACTGGTGATAGGGGAGTGTAACCGATAAATTGATCCTGAATCAGATAACATTTTCCCAGTAACAGAGAACCCCTTTCTTTAAGTGAATATAAATAGTGACGGGGGTCTCACAAATAAATATAAATCTGAATTACAGGAACATCGATTAGCAAAGTAAACTTACATATTAATCTCGAAGTTATTTACGGTAAAGACAGACTGTGCTCCTGAATTAAGGTATTATACATTTGTGTATTTTACTGCTACAAGATATTTGATTTGCTAATCACGCACCCGTTATGGCAAGCCGTTGTGGAATTTATTCCCTATTAATTAATATTAAAAAATCATTTATTAATATTAAATATATTTTTTTAATATTAATAAATCGATTTTTTAATATTAATAAATATTTTTTAATATTAATAAATAGGTAATTTTTAATATTAATAAATGGGTTTTATTTGTTAATATTAAATATTCAATTTTTAATATTAAATATTCGATTTATTAATATTAAAAAATAATTTGTAATATTAAAAAATAGATCCTATTTATTAATATTAAAAAATC